GACTGGAGTTACGAAGTTAGGGCGAACGTAGGGTAGACGGGACGGTAGGTAGGCGAAGACGGCGATCGGACGTCGGGACGCGCGCGACGCGGGGGGGGGGGCAGGGGCAGAGGGGCGGGCAGCGGGCAGCGGGCAGAGGGCAGGGGACGCTGAGGCGAGGATTGGGGCACTTCGCCTGAGGCAGCAGCTGCTGCTCCTGCTCCTGCTCCTGCCGCCAGCGGGTCGGGCAGCCTAGCTCTGGTACTGCCGTGCACCTCACGGAGTTTAGGGATGCATCCCGCCATTTCCAAGGATCAGCGGATCAGTTCGAGTCTCCCGTGATTTTCAGGATCGCCCGGAGTTTAGGACTCGAGCGCCAACTCGCTGGTGGTCCCCCGTGATTTCGAGAGATCAGCTGGGTCTGGGCCAGCCGCGAGCCACGGGGATCAGTTCGAGTCTCCCGTAAATTTCTGATCGGCCGGACTTTAGACGTCGAATGCAAGCCTGCTGGGCGTCTCCCGTAGTTTTGTGAGAGATCAGCTGGACTCTCCCGTGATTTTCCACGCAATCACACGGGGTTTAGGGGTCAGCGGCGAGCCTGGCGCATCCGTCTCCCGTAGTTTTTTGACCAGGGCTGTGTTCGGCGATAGTCTACCTCCGGGCGCGTCCCGGACATTTGGAAATAACGGGCATCCCGAATTCCGTTGGAACCCGGTCTTTAGACAGGGTCCGGACATTACCGACACGCTACGGCCGTATGGCCCGGAGATACCGGAGTTTAAAAGGGATTCAGCCCCGCCCGGACATAGGGGTCTCCCGTTATTTTCAGGGATCAACGGCGCATCCCGTAATTTTCAGAGATCAACGACGCATCCCGTGGTTTTTTGCTGCGTCGACCCTAATTCCTCAGCCGTCGACAAAATTGAGTTTACACGTCTACCAGCCGTCGACACTAATTCCTCAGCCGTCGACCCTAATCCCTCAGCCGTCGACAAAATTGAGTTTAGACTCTCCCGTGATTTTTCCCAGGCCCTCGTGGACGCTGCAGGGTCTACGGGCAGTCTCCCGCTATTTCCAGCCCGAGCCACGAGGCCGCTGCAGCGAGATAGCGCAGCCACGCTGCGCCAGTGGCCCGCCTCTGGAGCCCAGCCCGGCGTGGCGGGCAGGCCTGGCAGCGTGGCAGGGCTCCAGCACGTAGGGGCCCCTCTCCAAGGGCTGGACTGACCAAGGGGTGAACCGACCTGCTCGAAGGTACATAAACCTGCCCTTCCCTCGTTCCCAATCTTCTCTCTCTTCCCCCATCAGTGCTACGGGACAGCACGGCACAGCGCCAAGAAACCCCGCAGGTCTCAATGACCAGGCTGGTACTACCTCAAAGTACCGGGACTTGCATCCCTAACAAAAATGCTAACCGCTCTCGAACAAAATAGCTTCGAGAGGAAAATAATACAGGTCTTTCTCTTCCCCCATCAGTGCTACGGGACAGCACGGCACAGCGCCAAGAAACCCCGCAGGTCTCAATGACCAGGCTGGTACTACCTCAAAGTACCGGGACTTGCATCCCTAACAAAAATGCTACCCTTCCCGGCTCGCCTCGGACGAAATAGCTCCGAGGCGGGCCGGGGCCCCTTTCCCGCCGCCGCCGCCTCCAAGAGAAAAGCTTCGAGGCGGGCCGCATCCAAAATAAGCCCCTCCCTCCCTTTGTCCCGGCTCCTTGCCGCTTGCGGTTTTCCTTGCACATGTCCGCCAAGTGCCAAAATAATACTCTGGATCCTCCGTTAGCAAACGGGATCTCGGTCGGCTTCCGATCGCGGTTTTGCACACCCTCGCTCAAGTGCCAAAATAATAATGGATCCCGTCTCGTTCCGTCCCAGTCAGTCCCTAAGCAGAGCGAACAGACGCCGCTAGAGGAGAAAAGAATCCCCCTTCCCCGCCCCTCTCCGCTAGCAGGGCAAACAGGCCGGATCTGCTAGCGGAGCAGCGGTGCGACCTCTCCCGTCCCGCCCTCTCCGATAGCAGGGCAGATCGGCCTCAACTGCTAGCGGGGTAGAGGTGGCGACACCTATGCTCGAGCGCCTTGCGCTCTGAGCTCTCAATTTTTCTCCTTTTTGCAGCCGCCGCGTCGGGCCTCCCGAGCGGCAGCGGCAACAGCCCATCCGGGTCAGCACCTCTTTCCTCTAGCGATCTGCTAGCGGAGTAGAGGTGACCGACACCTATGCTCGAGCGCCTGGCCACTGGAGCTCAGAATTTTTCTTCTTTTGGCAACCGCCGCGTCGAGCTCTCCAAGCGGCAGGCGCGCCGACCCACCCGTAACAGTGACCCCTTTCCCGTAGCTAGCCATGAGTCACGAACCTCGTGAGGATATCGTGGTGTGTGAGCGTGTGCCTCTTTGCCTGTGACTGTCTGGGTGCGGCAAACAGGGTCGCGACGTTCAGAGGTCGAATTCGAGCTGGTAGGCGAGCTTCTGGTCGGCGAGGCGCTGCGGCGCGCTGGGCGAGGGGTCCTTGCGCCTCTCGCCGGCGGCAACCGAGGGGAAGCTGCCGAAGCTGTCCGGATGCGCGGGCGGGGGCGACTCGGCAAAGTACGGGTGGCGCAGCGCCTCATCGGCCGTGATGCGCTGGGCCGGGTCGTAGCAGAGCAGGCGCGAGAGGAGATCGACGCCGTTCTCGGTCAGGTAGCGGAACCGGTTGCGCAGTGCCGCGCGCTGAGACTCCAGAGTCGCGCTGTTGGCCGCGGCGGCCGAGGTCGCCGATGACGAAGACGGTACAGAAGGGATGTCGACCTTCTTGCTGCGGACCAGCGGCAGCGACGACACACCCGGCCAGACGTGCTCGTTTGGTGGGCCGAGGAGGCGGAAGATGCGGTGCAGCTGGTCCAGCTCCGTCTTTCCGGGCAGCAGCGGCTCCTTTGTCACGAGCTCGGCAAAGATGCAACCGATGGACCACATGTCTACGCTCTCGTCGTAGGTGGGCGAGTTGAGCAGCAGCTCCGGCGCTCTGAGAGGGACAAGGCATAAGGAAGGACGGAGGCGGCACGGAAGGTCGGGCCGTCAGTCGCCACATCGTCGAGAGCGGTCCGAGCCGTAACCCGCGCCACGGGGCCAGACGCACCTGTACCACAGCGTCACGACGAGGCCAGTCATGTCGCCGAGGGGGTCGCCGTAGGTGCGCGCGAGGCCAAAGTCGGCGACCTTCATCATGCCGCGGTTGTTCATGAGCAGGTTGCTCGTCTTGAGGTCGCGGTGGATGATCCAGCTGTGGTGCAGGAGGCGCACGGCCGAGAGCAGCTGCTTCATGAGCGTCTTGATCTCTGATTGCAAGAACGGCGTCCGCATCGACGAGAGGAGCGTCTTGAGGTCGTGCTCGACAAACTCCATGACGATATAGATCCTGTCGGGGGTCAGCAGGGTCCGAATCAAGAGCCGAGGGTGAGGAGGAGAGGGCGCCGACGTCAGCCACGATGTGCGCGCGAAAGGAAAAGGCATATGATGGCTGCGGTGAAGGACGCACTGCGTCAGGGTGTCACCGACGACGATCTCCTTGACTTCGACGACGTTTGGGTGCCGCGCCTGCATCAGCGTGCGGATCTCGCGGAGGCTGGTGATGGGGAAGCCGTTCTTTTCGCCGTCCATCTTGAGCTTCTTGAGGGCCACGATCTCGCCCGTCTGCTTGTCGCGGGCGCGGAAGACGACGCCGTAGCTGCCTTCCTCTATGTGATTGAGGCGCTCGTAGCAGTAGACGGACCGGCATCCGACTATTGGCGGATGGAGCGAGCGCAAAGGGGCGGGGGATGGGGCTTGCGCGGATGCTTGTTCACGTCCTGGAGGGCTGGCATGTGGTGGCGCTGAGGACGAGGTAGGAGTCGCGGTCCGAGATGCGTGCTTGGACCTCGAAGGGCGATGGCCATGGGACCGTGTCAGCTTTCGAGATGGCGAGGGGGGTGTCAGGGCCGGTTTCGCTCCGGCTTCGCCCGGAGTGCGACGGCAACCAGACGAGCCTTCGCCGTTGCTGCGGGGCGATGGTGTTGGTGAGGCCCACTTGCTCTTGCGCCTCTTTGCCGGAGGTTCCTGGCTTGGCAGCCGCGGCACGGCTCGGTCCGAGGATGATGTCATGGTCGCAAAGAGGCTCAAAGTGCAGGACCGCGAGTCCACCGGCGTGATGAGTCGAGCAGGGTGAGGGGAAGTGGTTGCCGGATAGCTCTGGTTGGCGTGCTCGGTGTCAGGAGCACGGGCGAGGCGAGTAGGGGGCAAGACGAGGTCGAAGATCGAGCTCAGGGCCATGCGTGCTGCGTCATTGAAGATGCTGTGACCAGACGAGGCATCACGCGAAGCCGTTGCTGGAGCCGTTCGGTGGTGGTGGCGGTGGTGGTGGTCAGAGGGAAAGGTGCATTCCTTAGGAGGAGCGGCCGCCAGGTCGAGTGTGGAGGCGACCAGGGCGCTCCCATGTCGAGCAAGACATCTCTCGTCCGAGTTCCGAAGGAACCCTGCGCTGGCAGCCCTGGCTTGCCGTGCTGGCACGCCGGAAGTCGGCAAACGGAATCCCGTCAGGCTGGCAAGGCCAGACGCTACTCTGCTGCGCACCGGCCACGCTCGGTCACTGGGGCCGACATCGCCTCGGCGCTGTGCTCCCACCACCCACCACCAACCACCAACCTATCGCCATCAACTACCACGTCCTTGGCCTTATCCTACACCTAGCCCATCGGGTCCCGCCGCGCTGCTCACCGACAAGAATAGAGGCCGACAAGCACGTACACGTCATACCCGGCCGCTGCCTAGCCCAACCTCGGCGCAGCCTACCCCCGCCAGAGACGGACACTACCCACCATGGCGGACATCGACGCCGAGGCTAGGGCAGCAAAGGCCGCTCGAGCCAGAAAGCAGCTCAAAAAGCATCAGGCACAAAAGGCTGCAGCAGCAGCGGCAGCAGCCGCGGGCGGCTCCCCAGAACCAGACAAGGACGCCTCAAACAAGAAGGACGACGAGCAGGCACAGGGCGAGCCTCAACCAGATTCGGACAAGGATGCCCCCGATCAAGAGGTCGCCATATCGAATCAGGACGAGATTGCAGAGCTGAAGCGTCAAGCCGAAGCCACTAGCGCCGCTCACAACGAAGAGGTCGCCGAGCTGAAGCGCAAGGCCGAAGCGGCAGACAAGGATGCCCAAGAGCTGGTTGAGCTGAGGACAAGCCGCAACGAGTCCGAGAGGCGCCTCGCCGAGCTCGAGAAGGTCAGTGGTGATCTCGAGGCAAGGTTGACCGCAAGCGACAAGGCGAGCAAGAAGGCCGAGGAGGATGCAAAGGCACTCGCCGAGCTGGAGAAGAAGAGGATTGAGTCCGATAAGCGCATCACCGAACTCGAGAAGACCAAGAAGGACCTCGAAGCCAAGGTGGCTGCGGGCAACGAGGCGAGCAAGAAGGCTGCCAAAGACGCCGAAGCGCTCCTGAAGCTCGAGAAGAAGAGGAGCGAGTCAGACAAACGCATCACTGAGCTCGAGAAGGCCAAAAGCGACCTCGAGGCCAAGGTAGCCGCAAGCGACAAGGGGAGCAAGAAGGCCGCCAAGGACGCCGAAGCACTCACAGAGCTACAGAAGAAGAAAGACGAGTCGGAAAAGCGCATCGCCGAGCTCGAGAAGGACAACAAGGACCTCGAGGCAAAAGTGGCGTCGGGCGACGAGGCAAGCAAAAAGGCCGAACGGGAGGCGCAGACGCTCCTCGATCTCGAGAGGAGGAAGAAGGAAGACTCTGAAAAGCGCATCGCCGTGCTGGAGAAGGACAAGGGCGAGTCCGACAAGCGCATCACCGAACTCGAGAAGACCAAGAAAGACCTCGAAGCCAAGGTGTCCGCGGGCGACAAGGCGAGCAAGAAGGCGGCGGAAGACGCGCAGGCGCTGCTCAAGCTTGAAAAGGACAAGGAGGAGTCCGACCGGCGCCTCTCCGAGCTCGAGAAGAAGAAGGAAGAGGCCGACAAGCGCGTCGCCGACCTGGAGAAGGCCAATATGGCCGCGAGCGACAAGGCGAGCAAACAGGCCGAAGAAGATGCCCGGGCGCTCGCCAAGCTGAAAGAGGACAAGAGAAAGACTGACGAGCGTGTCGCCGAGCTCGAGAAGAAGGAGAAGGAGGCCGACGAGCGGATCGCTGACCTCGGAAAGACCAAAAAGGAGGCCGACGAGCGCCTCGTCGAGCTGGAGAAGAAGGACAAGGAGTCCAGCAAACGCATCGGCGAGCTCGGAAAGAAGGAGAAGGAAACCGACAAGCGCATCGCCGAGCTCGAGAAGGACAAGAAGAGCTCCGACGAGCAGATCGCCGAGCTGAAGAAGGCCAAGAGCGAGTCGAACAAGCGCATCGCTAAGCTCGAGAAGGCCAAGAGCGAGTCGGACAAGCGCATCGCTGAGCTCGAGAAGGCCAACAGGGGCCTCGACGCCAAGGTGGCCGCAAGCGACAAGGCGAGCAAACAGGCCGAAGAGGAGAAGTCTTCCTTGGTGAGTCAGCGCGGCGTGCCAACCCTGCGCTCTGATCGCCCGGCGAAGTGTGGCTGACCACGACTCGCCTGCCTATTGACCCCGTCCCCCGGCTTCCAACGAAATCTGATGCAGGAGCGGAGCCTCGAGATCGTTCGGCAGCAGGTCGAGGAGCTCAAGCAGACGCTGGCGACCCGAGAGCAGGAGCAGGCCGAGCTCGAGGACAAGCTGGCCGACCCGACCCAGGCCAACGAGATCGAGTCGCTCCAGAAGCAGCTGTCGGCCGCGGAAGAGCGGACGTCGAGCCTCGAGGCCGAACTCCACCGCCGCGGACAGGCCCTCACCGCCGCCAACGCCGACAGCGAGAAGCTGGCAAAGGAGGTCGAGACCCTCAAGAGCGACAAGGCGCAGGTCGACGACCGGGCGCGCCAGGCCGAAGAGGAGCTCGCCGAAACGACAAAGGCCCGCCAGGCGCTCGAGTCCGAACTCGCGGCCGAACGAGCCAAGGTCACCGAGGCCTCGGCTGAGAGGGACTCGCACCGCTCCAAGGCCGAGGAGCGAGCGGAGGAGCTGCAGAAGGTGTCGTCCGAAGCCCAGAAGCACCTCGCCGCGCTCGAGACGGCCAAGGCCGACATCACCGCCGCGCACAAGCGAGCCAGCGGCGCCGAGAAGAGGGCCGACGGCCTCCAGACCGAGAACGAGCGCCTCGTCAGCACCCTCGACGACGTCAACGCCAAGGTCGGTGCGCTCTCGCAGGAGAAGGCCACGCTGCAGGACGGCAACATCAGCCTCGAGGGCAGACTCAAGAAGGCCGAAGACGACGCCCGAGCCGCGAGCTCGCAATTCGAGGCCAGGCTGAAGAAGGCCGAGGACGGCGCCAAAGAGTCTGCCGCGCAGCTCCAAGCCCAGATCAAGAGCCTCGAGCAGAGCATGCAGTCGAGCAAGGCCGAGGCCGAAGCGGCAGCCAAGAAGCTCGTCGAGGCCCGCGACGCCGCCAACAAGAAGGCCCAGGCCCTCGAAGCCAGCCTCAAGCAGGCCGACGCCCAGTCGGCATCGTTCGAAGGCGACGCCCAGGCCGAGCTCAAAGCGCTGCGGGATCGGGCCGAGTCGAGCGAGGAGGCCCTTCGGACCAAGTCAGAAGAGCACGCAACCGCCGCGGCCTCGGTGGCGGCGCTCCGCTCGGAGCTCGACGAGCACGAGCTCGAGCTGTCTGCCATGCGGTCGCAGATCCGCAAGCTGGAGAGCTCCGTGTTTGAAGAGACCGACCGCGCGCACAAGGCGGTGCGCCGTGCTGCCGAGATCGAGGAAGAGCTGCGCGCGCTGCGGGCCAGCATTGTCAGCGATGGCAATGGCGGCAGCGGCGTCGGGTCCATGTCCAGTCTGGCGGCTCCCGTCCCTGCCCCTCCATCACTCGTGTCGAGCCTCTCGCCGAACGCCAGCAAGGGACCCGTGGGCAGCCGAGCGCATCGCCGCAGCGCAACGTCGGCGCACATCCCGGGCCTCTCGCCGCTATCGGAGCGCGACGCCATGGACTTTGCCTCTCCGCTGCGCTCGACGGAGGCGGCAGGTGCGGCGGGCACGAACGCACAGCCGGTCTCGCCCACGCCCAAAGGCGCCGCCGCCCGACGCGGTATCCGGACCATCACGCCCGAGGAGCTGCCGCTGCCCCCTTCGCAGCGCCACCGCCGGCGCGAGTCGCTTCAGATGCTGCGGGCACGTATCGGCGACGAGCTGGCGACCCCTGCCGCGCCACTCTCACCCGCTTCGTCGTCGACGACGGCGTCATCTCGCGCACCACCGCTTGCCACCATCGCGTCGCCAGGCACCGAGGCAGCACAGGGTGACCAGCCTGCGATTGTCGTCGAGGACGAGACGGCGGCGTCGGCGGCGGCGGCAGCGGGCGGCGACTCGCTTGACAAGAAGCACGGATCCTCGTTCGAGCAGCCCGACAGGTTGATGCAGGCCGGATCGCTGGCGCATCCCCGTTCCGCATCGACGAGGCCCCACTTTGCGCACGACTCGATCCTGTACTGCGCCTGCTGCACCGACGACCTGCTCGTCGTCTGAATGCCACTCGTTTGCGCTTTCGGGACACCTGGACTTTTGAGATCGGAACGGACACCGAATCGTTGACCGAGGCCGGCGGGGGTCGATGGCTAGAAGCTCGGGGGCGAATGTTGTCGCGTGTCGAGAGTGGTTCGAGGCATTTTTTTGAGTTTCTTTTTTCTTGCCGTGGTTGGCGGCGGTCGACAGCCCACCGCTTCGATACGGCTGGCGATTAGTAGTCGGCGGCGTACTGTGGATGCATGCGAGGAGGTTCAAAAGAAGCCGAGAACGCAGTCGTCAGCACGTCGGCCCTGCATCGACACGGTCCGACGCAGCTGCGCGACTCACGGCTGGGATCTCGATCTGCGGAATGTGACCCGGCCCATAGGAAACGATGTCGCCATACTGCCAGAAGGGAAAGGGCGAGGTGCCGTCGCTCGACTGCTGGCGGTCAGTGTCGGTGTTGTTGTCGGGGTTGAGCAGGTCGTAGACGTTGTAGCCCTCGCTGCTGCTGTTGGCTCCTGACTCGGTGGTGGCACGTTCCTGCGGCTCCTGCGGCTCCTCTTGCTGCTCGGGCAAGCTCAAAGGAGGCGACGAGTGTCGCTGCGAATGCAGGGCATGCGGAGAGGTGGTGGCACCGCTGTCTGTGCCATCGTGAGGACGAACGCGCTCGTCGCGGCGAGCCGGCGGGTAGCTCGGCATCGGTAGCATCGGCGGCATTCCAGGTGGTGGGCCTGGCACGCCCGGCGGACCCGGCATCGGATAGAAGCCCGGCTGCGGAGGCATCTGCTGCCAGTAGAGGCCCGGGTACGACGGCGGAAAGGGACCTGAGCTTGGGCCTGGACCGGGACCGGGACCGGGACCGGGACCGCGGACCGCAGTCTGATACTGCCACGGCGCCGCGGGTGTGGGCGGCCAGGGCATGCCGTACGGCGGCGGCGGCGACATCGCGATCATGTACGGGTGGCCGATCGGCGCGTGCACCGACCACGGCGGCTGGGAGGGCGGGCCGCAGGTGGACACGACCGCATCACCGACGCCAGCCCTCGGCGACGCGTGCGAGAGCTGCCTTGCTGCCGGTCCCGCCTCTTCTTTGGGGCTGAGACGAGCTTCTCGGGGCAGAGGGCGGTGATGGCCTCCGCCACGCTTCTGGCCGCTGCTGGGCAGACGCTCGTGCTGCGACGCCTTGAGGGGATGAACGGAACAGCGAGCTTGACGTCAACAGACCCGTCCGGCGCGTGATCCTATGTACACATCGTAGCAGGGATACGGCACACTCACCACAGCCGTTGTCTCGCCCCAGCGCAGCGTCGACGAGCCTGCCTTTGCACCGATCGGCGAGATGCTGCCGTCGCCAGAGCGGCTTGAACCTACGCCCTGGCCCGAAGGGGCGCGGTGGCCGCTAGCCTGCGAGGGCCTGAACTGAGGAGCGGGGCGGGTCTGGGCGCCGCGCGGTTTGGTCGTCGTGCGACGAACCTTGTGCTGCACCTGGATGGCGTTGCCGCGGACGACTCGACCATTCTCGCGCTCGATGGCCTGGTCGGCCGCCCTGCTCGTGTTGAAGCGGACAAAAGCAAACGACTGGAAGACCTGGATGTCGATGACGCGGCCGTACTCGCACAGGATGGAGCGCAGGGCAGCCTCGGTCGTTCCCGGGGCCAGGTGTCCGACCCAAATCGAGCACGGATCGATCTGGTCGTGGGCCTGGAGCGCGATGGCCATCCTGACGGGAGTGGATGCGGCCTGAAGGGGTGGTGGCGGCAGGGTAGGGAGCTCGGTAGAAAGTAGGGTTGCAGCGCGAGGAGCCGGCGAGGGGAAAAGGGAGGGAGAGATAGGGTCCAGGCGTGAGCATCAGCATACATCGCATTTTGTGCTCCACGCCTGATGCTGGCAACGCGTCGACCTAGACCCACCAGATGTGTGCGGACGAGGAGGTGGTGGTGCGGATGGTGGCGAGAAGCTGGCAGGGAGGGTAAGGCTGCGAGCCAGGGTGGCGAGGGCTTCATTCGCTGCGCCGCGCCCATCGTCGGCCTGGCCGCCCGTCTGGCCGCCACGGCGGGTCCAGTGGGCGCTTCTCTCTGCGCAGGCAGGCCGTCAACCTAGACCGCGCCGCGCCGGCCAGCACCTCAACACCCTGCAGGCCAGGCCAGGCAGGCCAGGCTGGCCGCCAGCCAAGGCCACGCCGCGCCGCCCCGACCTGCCTAGCACCGCACCAGCCTGCAGGCAGGCCAGGCCAGGCCAGGCCAGGCCGCGCCGCC